AGACCTTACGAAGCCATCGTGGTTCGCATAGCCTCATCTCTCAAGGGACCAAATCATCCAGACTGGAGCCGTTTTTGAATCCCGTTTAGCTCGTGGATGAGACGTAAGCGAGATCAAAATTACAGCCCAGTTCAGATAACAAAGCTTGCAGTGGTCAGTCCAAATGATTATAAGTATGCTTCTGAGAGAATCAGTAGATGGACTATAAGAGCTGCCTTTATCTTATCTCGTGTAAAACGACCAAGGACTAGCAGTAGAATTTTCCCAAATTGCTATAAATAGGCATCATGTTTACATTGCAATTCACACAGTCTTCCTTCTTAAATGGTATTTTCTTCCAGGGCGGACGACAGGTTCGACCTCGCCTAAACCTTGAACGAACTAGGCTGAATGTAGCTCCTACATTAGATCTATTTGTAGCCGAAAAGAGCATACTTATAAACTGAAAGTAAGTATATACGAAGACAATTTGGGTTTGATGAATCCCTGATTCATTATTTTTGAGTGGAGGTATTTGGTGAAGAGATTTGAAGGTGGATCCCAACAAAAGAAGACAGCGGATTCTTCTTGACCAATTGTTGATCGGCTTTACTGGAACATTATTGTTGACTCTATTTCCGAGGCAATCCTCTTCGACTCCGACTTTCTTGACTCGCTAGCTTGCATATGGTTGTAAGGATGATGATGCTGCTGCTCTGATGACGTTCGTCGTACGACAGGCGAAAGCTTAGCACATTTTCTCCGGAATCGAAGGAGAACAAGAATGTTCCAGTAAAGCCTATCGACAGGCGATCAAAAGCAATCAACCATCGGTTTCTGGTTGGGTCGACTTTCAAATTTCTCCATTAAACACTTTCAGTTTTACTGGTAGTAAGTTTGATAATTATGAAAGTAAGTAATTTGGTCAACTGCTATAGCAGATGCAACTTTGTTTAGTCGACAACCCAATCACGGAAATATGATATGCGAAAGGCCTAAGATTCTTTGAAATTCACTCCTACCCTATGATCCAAGAGCCCTCGAAGTGTGGCCTAGAGCTTAACTTGTCGATATTCTATACTGCAGGTTCACAACCCGAGTTCGAGTCCCGATGGTGGTGTTAAAGAGACCAGCCCAGGCCTGATCGAAATTGCAGTCCGCTCCAGTCGGAATTAGAGTACCTTTTGGGAAGCAAGACTTAGTGAAATTTAATGGAAACATGGGGCCTGCTCATCTTCCATTCATTCATATCCTTCATCAAAATAGGCAGAAATCAGCTTTTAGATCAGTCCAAACGTCTTAGTTCATAGCTTGGTTTAGTCATGTTAAGAGACGCAGGAGTCATTTCCTTCTTACTTCGTGACTTCTCTTAACAATTTGCTATACCTGAGCAATGTTGACAGTTCGATCGCTGGCCCTAAGTTCAGATGTGCTCACTTATATTCTTTTAAGTTCTCTGTCTAGCTACTTATCTCGCTTCGATTTGGAGTGTCGGTTTTCTTCAACCCGATACTGGCTACCCACCCACCCATCATTCTACGCTCATCTTCTACTCTCTGCCGTTCGGATCAGAGAAAGAACGCGAGGTATTTTAAGCAAGTAACTCAAGCTGAACAGAAAACCGTCGGACATGACAACCCCATCGGGGCTAAGATTCAAGCTCCTACAATATTTGCTCTCCTCCCTTTCGCTGATCGCTTGCGCCAACACCAAATTTCCATCTTTCTAGACGTAATTAACAAACAATTTCACTTATGACAATCCCACAGCGTCCAGCTATGACTAGTCTTTTCTTGCTGTTAGGCTACGTGTACATCCTTTTGATACATTAAAGTCTTTTGTGTGGGCTCACTTGTGAGGCCGTTTAACTGAGCAATGCTGCTCATGCAATAATTATGGCGAGTTAGCTTCACTAAGAGCCCTTTCAGAGGCTTGGTTGAGCGGCATTCAGGGGTCTTTGTGGGAAATGCAAGCATCAGTACTTGCTTCAGCCTAAATCACGCGGGTTCTTGTGCAAACATGAACTGTCGGTGGCGTGACGTCGGCATAGCTTCCATTTCATTTGGAAAGGCGGATAAAAGGAAATGTAAATTGGTCACACAAGAAGCTCAAGTAGGATTATCTCAAATCTGCTGCTGCTGGATTGTGCCAAGAAGACTTCGGCTTAGAGTTGTGTAGCACTGATGAGCAGTCGCCTGTCGTGCCGGGACAGGCATTGTCAGAACGAGAAATCATCATTTAGAACTTTCATCATACACTTCTTATAAATAATCTAATAAATAAAAATGTATACTGTGCATCTATTATACTTAACATTTCCGATCTTAATGAAGCATTCTGTGATTTGGTCGGCTCCTCCGCGCCTACTCAACATGCTTTCAAATGTTTGAAT